GGGGGGGTATAAACGGCTACGCCGGTCATTAGTGCATTAATATCATTAGTCTCTAATGCTTTGATATATTCAGGTTTTCATGATTTAAGGATTTTAGTTTGTTGTGTTTTAGGTATTTTATGATACTTATCAAAAAGTATACCATTAATTTTAACATTAACTTTATCAACGACTCCTACTGGTACTTTATGGGTTCTATTTCCTATTTTCCTTGATAAGTCGTTACTTCCAGCTTTGAAAACACTAGCAACAGTTATTAGCTTAAATTTAGCCGCATATACTTTAGCTAAAGAGTATCTAAGTATATAAGCAACTCTTGCAGTAAATTGTTTTCTATCATTGGCTACAATTCATCAATTAGAAAGTCCACGTAATATCATATTAATTTTACTATTACTTTCTGATTGAGGATATCTTAAATATCTAAAATTTGGTTTGGGAGTACCCATTCCATCACAAAACCCAGCTTCTTTAAGTATATTAATAACCTTAGCTTTATCAATGTAAAGAGTAGGTATAGTAATTCTACGATTAACTAGCTTATCACCAAATAATTGTTTAATAACATAGGTATTTCTACCTATAATATGACCGAGGAAAAATATCCCTTTACTAATGTGAGTGATATGAGTTTTATCTTCACTCAATGTTAATTCTAACTGATCAACTGATCATTTAAAAATATTTTGATAAGTTCTTTAATTTCGACAGCAAGTTTTCTAGATCCCGCCCCCCCCAGCAATTCAGGCCCTGCCCGCGGCCGGCCCCATCTGCGAAAACCGCGAAACTCCGTCAGACCCAAAACATCTCCACGAGCCGCGCCCCGCTCTCACCTCTCCATCCTCTTCCCCCTCCTTTTTTATTTTTTTTTCTTTCTCCACGCAAAGACCAGCGACAAGCCCAGGAATGTCCAGCGTCGCCCGCGCCGCCTCTCTCGCCGTAGCCTGCCCTGGCCAGGGCATAGTCCCGCGGGGCTGCCTCGCGGCGCTCCGCCGCCACCAGCATGTATTCCAGCACACGCTAGATTGCGTGGACCTGGTTTTCGGCGCCAAAGTATCGGCTCTTCTAGTCCAGGACCCGCCCGCCGCGCCCGACCCCTGGAGCCGCTCCACGGCCAACGCCCAGCCGGCCATCGTGGCCTCCACGTACGCTTTGATCCAGGTGCTCCGCGCCGTCACCGGCATCGATTTGATGGCCGATGGCCGCGTGGCGTATTTCTTGGGCCACTCGCTTGGCGAGTACTCGGCCCTTCTCCTCGCGGGCGTGCTCACGCTCCCGCAGGCCCTCCACGTGGCCAGGCAACGCGGCCTCATGATGGAGGCTCTTGTGCGCGAGAAAGCCTACGAAATGCGGGTCTTGGTTTTCCGGCCCGCCGCGTACGGCCAGGTGCACGGCTTGGCGGCCGCCCGCGGCGTGCTTGCGTGTGCCAACAACGCGTCGCAGATCCTGGTTCTGGGGGAGCCGGGCGAACTCGACGCGTTGGTGCACGAGCTCAACACGCCGCGCAAAACCGTGCTCAAACAGGTCCTGTTGCCGGTGGCCGTTCCGTTCCATAACCGTGTTTTGCGTGCCATCGAGCCGCGCTTGCTAGACTTGGTGCCGCGGCCCAGGCCGGCCCTGAAGCCGGTCGTCAGCAACTTCACGGGCGGCGTGTCTGCTGGGAATCTTTTCGAAAACACGGTGAGATGCAACTCGGCGCCCGTGCAATGGAAGGCGTCCATGGAGTTGTTGGAGCGTGCGGGCGTGGGGGCGGTCGTCAACTTGGGCCCGGGCAGTGCCGTGGATGCGATCAACGCCAAGTTCGGCTTGGCCAACTACCCGGTGAAATGCGAGGCCGACATGCAGAGACTCGCCGCTGCCTTGAGCCCCGCGCCGTGATCACCACAGGGCGTCTTTGGGCGGCAGCCTGTTTATTTCTTCTGAGTATTCTTCTGGGTATTCTTCTGGGTATTCTTCTGGGTATTCGTCTGGGTATTCTTCTGGGTATTCTTCTGGGTATTCTTCTGGGTATTCTTCTGGGTATTCTTCTGGGTATTCTTCTGGGTATTCTTCTGGGTATTCTTCTGGGTATTCTTCTGGGTGTTCTTCTGGGTATTCTTCCGGGTCCTGTCGGAGTATTCTTCTGGGTATCCTGCCTGCGGATGCTGTCCACGTGCCCAGCCTACTCTCTGCTGGCGCTCCTGGGTTTCGGTAGCGTGGTGTCAATATTGAGGCAGAAAGTGTACCAACGTGGCAGGAACCCTGACTACGGGACAGTGAGGTACTGCTCGAGCTGCTGCAGTTGCTCACGTGCCTGGTCGGTCCCCTGTTCTATGATGATCCAGTGTGGCCCTTCCAGAGAGCGTTGGCGAACCGGGGGAAAAGAGTCTCTGCTTAACTTCAAAACTCACAGTGTAGGTGGAAACGGGAGCTTGCGCATCAAAAGGAACCAGTGAAAAGAGCCATCCTTTCCCAGAAGCTTCATCAAAGAGAGCATGTTTAGTAGGAAAAGAATGACCAAATCCAAGAAGGAGCGGCGCGTCGAAACTGTCCTCATCTGGCGCACCCAAAACACGCCTCTTTAGAGGATTTCTTGCACCTTGGGCCTTTCACTCAAGGTACAGATCTTTGGTTGCTCTCTAACCGGCGGCTTCGTGGCTATTAACCAATACCGTCATGACTGTACCCCACAAAAGTGCTCCGGGCTTAGTTAAGACTGTCTGTTGATACTCTTTGCTAAAACTGTGCTTACGTAAATGATGTTTTAGAGACTTGTGGAGCCGACTCGAATATGGTAGCAGGATCAAAATCAACAATAGAAAACAACAAGATTCAACTCCGTTTGGAGTATCAGGTGCATTGATGGATCACCAGACGCGCACCTTGCATTGTACATATATACAACACTAGACGGAAAGATAGATGAAGAGAATATGCAGAATTGGAAAATGCGTGAAATTGGCTGCAATGTCTCTCGATTCTCGAACGGTGGTGACATCATTTCCAAAAGCTTAGATGCACCTTTCCACGTCACCAAAATCACAAAGACCTAATGAACTATATTGTTTCGAGCAATTCATTGCAGCTGCCCGAAATGTGGTGTCATGGATCTTTTTTGTTTTGTTTTGTTTTGTTTCTTGTTTTTCCTTCAGACCGACGGTGAGTTTCCGAGACATATTGCCCATGCACGAAAAGTGCCAGCTCTATAGACTCCCACCTACTGGTCAATAAATGGCAATTCTCCAGTGCAGCGATCTGACATCATTTCAAATGGATCAGTGACGATCATCACTTTTTGAATTTCATTAAACAATCCATTTTCCCTAGGGCTGTGTTTTCAACCCGAAAGAAGAAAAACATACTTCCATATCTGTGATGATTCATGACTTGAACGAGTGTCTGGATCACAGCAAAAAGTTTTAGTGTTTATAAAACTAGCCCCTGTAGTTAGTTTACTCACCATTTCTGTCTTCGTACTGAATGGTTAATTCATCTGCACCCAAGGTGCTTGTCTCATTTCTCATTCATCTCTTTGAGTGATGCAGTGATGTACGAATTTTCATGAAAGTTTTTGCAGCATTATAGGTTATTGACTTTTTTGAATGAAGAGACACCAAACTCGAATTATTCGACGGGACTGTTGATTTTAGTTCTGTGCTGGGATAGTCGTTCAAGTAGACTCTTTCTGGTCGTCTTTCGCTGATAGTCTTGATCTGTTCCAGCAAATTTTCTAGGGCGTGAAACTGTCTTATTCTCATGTAGTGGGACTATAAATTCTCCAATGGCTTCACCAATTGAACCGCCATTTCAAAGCGGCCACCGTCACCTCTGTAGTTCTACATATTCCTTTGTCTTTTGTGAGCCGCTACACTATGTTAGATGTTCCACACAACGCCAGATGTGAAGGTCCCACTTGACTTCATCGTTTGGGATATATCCACAAATTCCTCTCTCTAACATCAGGTCCCTATCTCGCATGCATCCAGTTTGCAAAAGTCAAAACCAAAATTTAGCCGAGATGGATCAAAAGATCTTGTTGACTTGTCGCTTTTCTCGAATGTGAATATGTGGCATGTGATAAGACAGATGTACCGACCCATGGTTCACGTCTGGTCTGCTTTCTCCTCCAGGGTATATTATTTATCTTCAGCTGCTTATTTGACCCGTACCCCTTGGTCTATCTTAATAAAACCTTTTTGATGATACTAGCTTTGACATCTTCTGTAATTTAGTTTTCTTCTGATATCGCATACTTCATTGGTTACTTCGGACCCATTTACTGGATACTGAGACAAAACTGACTTTTGAACAATTAAAGTCGACTTACTTCTCCGAATTGTCCTGCGTCTTTGAAGTAGTCTCTGGAAACCAGCCGTGCGTAGTATTCAACTTGTCACCTCCCACTATTTTACTTCTTCTTCAACGAATATTCATCGGCCTCGATCTTCTTAAATCTGGAGCTTTCCTGTTTGTCACCTGAAACTTCACACCATCCAAGCTTCAAAATAATGTACGTACAGATGTTGAACAACAAGCAGCAGCATTCTCTGATCTTGCGTTTCATTCTCCATCAGATCCAATATGTTGAGCTAAACTAGATCTTCCATAATTTCTCATCCTTTTTAGCAGTCACTGCAAGTATTTACATCGACATTACTCGACTTCGGTTGACAGTGCTGAGAACTGTTGCAGTCTTTCCTGAAACCCTGAGCGTATCTTTCCCCAAAAACTACTCCTTTGATGTGCCCGTGTACCTGATGTAAGCGGGAAATTTTTATGTCTTTCTGAAATCTATAACGCCCAGTTTGTGACGTTTTATACGTCTCGGATTGTTCATGGAGAGTGGTTTGTTTCTAGTTCGAGTCCTTGACAAAACCTGCTGGGCCTCGTTTCTCCTGACGATTGTTGAGCAGGGTGCCTGGTCAGTATGTTTTCTTGTAAACTAGGATCTTGTGCCAGATACCATTTCCTTCACCTTCAAAGGCCCACCAGACCCTTTAACTTTGTGCAATATGCGTGCAATACCATTTCCAATAGTACGTTCAAATATACGTGATATATACGTGATACATAACTGATGTATAAGCAATATATAAGTCGCACATACGTGATATATATGTAAGGTAGGGCCTCTGGGTAAAGTATATAAAGGTGGAATAGAACTCCTGTAGAGTTCTAGAGACCAGTGATCAAATAGTAATACATAACGCCTATGTCCCGTGAAGTCCCTAACAATATACGTGCAAATTACGTAAAATTAACGTATGATTAACGTATGATTAACGTATAGTTAACGTATAATTAATATATAATTATCGTATAATTATCGTATAATTATCGTATAATTAACTTTTGATGAATGTCTAATTATCATATAACTAACTTTTGATGAATGTCTAATTATCATATAACTAACGTATAATATACGGCAGTACTGCGTGCAGTAGTATTGGGCAATTGTCACGTGGAAGCTCGGGCCGCCCTTTTTCTAAAGCCGCGCCAGCGTTAGTCACCGGAACAGGCCCGATAAGGGACCCTCCGCGATTCAGCGGGTACTCCTCCTGAACCCTGGCCCACAAAGAAAAGAAGCGACAACATCGGCCGCCTCCATTTATTTTCCATTTTCTGGAAACCAATCATTCTCCTGCCTACCGGCTCTACTTAAATCTTCATTTTTTTTCAGTTTTCGGGCAGGCCCATCTTTTCGCCCGGTGCCGATTCACCCTTTCTGCCAGCGCTTGTGGATTTCACACCACGGTCGCATCAGAATATTGGCACATTTTTGACTCCGCGCGCCGAGTCACCGCGGCCCGAAAAATATAAAGCAGTCGCGGGGGCCGCCGCGCACAGCCAGGAAAAAATCAGATAGGCCCTACATCCAGAGCCACTTCGTCTTTTGCGTCCTGATTTTCGACATGAGTGCCCAGTTGATTGACGGCAAGGCCATTGCCTTGCAGCTCCGCCAGAAAGTGCACGCCGACATCCAGGCCGTGCAGGCCAAGCACGCCGACTTCAAGCCCAGCTTGACCATCGTGCAGGTGGGCGAGCGCCCCGACTCTTCCACCTATGTGAAGATGAAATTGAAGGCCGCCGAGGAGGCCGCCATCCGCTGCGACTTGGTCAAGTTGCCCGAGTCCGTGACACAGTTTGAGTTGCTTGCCAAGATCGCCGCCTTGAACGCGGACATTGCCGTCGACGGCATCTTGGTCCAGTTGCCCCTCCCCGCCCACTTGGACGAGACCAAGGTCACCAGCAGCGTGGCCGCCAGCAAGGACGTGGACGGCTTTGGCCCCCACAACGTCGGCGAGTTGGGCAAGAAGGGTGGCAACCCCACGTTCTTGCCTTGCACGCCCAAGGGCATCATGCAGTTGCTCGAGCAATCCGGCGTCTCTGTGGCCGGCAAGAACGCCGTGGTCGTGGGCCGCTCCGACATCGTCGGCCGCCCGGTTGCCAGCTTGTTGACCAAGGCCAACGCCAACGTCACGCTCTTGCACTCGCAGACCTCCGCCGATAGCTTGCAAGCATACTTGGCCTCCGCCGACATTGTGGTGGTTGCCATTGGCGTGCCCAACTTCGTCCAGGGCAGCTGGTTGAAGAAGGGTGCCGTGGTCGTGGACGTGGGCGCCAACTTCGTCGACGACAGCTCCAAGAAATCTGGCTCGCGCATGGTGGGCGACGTCGACTTCGAGTCTGCCTTGCCCGTGGCCTCCTTGATCACCCCTGTTCCCGGTGGAGTGGGCCCTATGACCGTGGCCAACCTCTTGGACAACGTCGTCATTGCTGCCAAGGCCCACTACAAGAAAAACAACGAGACCCCGCAGTTCACCAACCCGCTCAAGTTGGACTTGCAGACGCCTGTGCCTTCTGACTTCGAGATCTCGCGTGCCCAGCAGCCCAAGCGTATCAACCAGGTCGCTGAGGAGGCTGGTATCTTAGACTCGGAGTTGGAGCCATTCGGGTTCTACAAGGCCAAGGTCTCCTTGGACATCTTGAAGCGTTTGGAGAACAAGGTCAACGGTAAGTACGTGTTGGTCACCGGTATCACCCCCACTCCTTTGGGTGAGGGTAAGTCCACCACTACCGTGGGCTTGGCCCAGGCATTGGGCGCGCACTTGGGTAAGAACGTGTTTGCCAACGTCAGACAGCCATCCATGGGTCCTACCTTTGGTATCAAGGGTGGTGCTGCCGGCGGAGGCTACTCGCAGGTGATCCCCATGGACGAATTTAACATGCACGTCACTGGTGACATCCATGCGATCTCCATGGCCAACAACTTGTTGGCCGCCGCCATCGACACCAGAATGTTCCACGAAAACACACAAAAGGACGCCGCTTTGTACAAGCGTTTGGTTCCTGCAAAGAAGGGCGAGAGAAAGTTCCCTGTCGCGTTCTTGAACAGGTTGAAGAAACTCGGCATCGACAAGACCAACCCTAACGACTTGACCGAGGAGGAAATCTCCCGCTTCGTCAGATTGGACATCGACCCAGACACCATCACCTGGAGAAGAGTGGTCGACTGTAACGACAGATTCGTGAGAGGAATCACCATCGGCGAGGCCCCTACCGAGAAGGGTATGACCAGAAAGACCGGTTTCGACATTTCCGTCGCCTCTGAGTGTATGGCCATCTTGGCCTTGTGCACTTCGTTGTCCGACATGAGAGAAAGATTGGGTAAGATGGTTGTCGCCGCTTCCAAGGCAGGCGAGCCCATCACCTGTGAGGATATTGGCTGTGCAGGTGCCTTGACCGCTTTGTTGAAGGACGCCATCAAGCCAAACATCATGCAAACCTTGGAGGGCACTCCTGTCTTTGTTCATGCTGGGCCTTTCGCCAACATTTCCATCGGCGCCTCGTCCGTATTGGCTGACAAGATGGCCTTGAAATTGGCCGGTACCTCGCCAGACTTGACTGAGGAGGAGAGAAAGAAGCAAGAAGGCTACGTCGTCACTGAGGCTGGTTTCGACTTTACCATGGGTGGAGAGAGATTCATGAACATCAAGTGTAGAGCCTCCGGCTTGGCTCCAGACGTCATTGTGATTGTTGCCACTGTGCGTGCCTTGAAGGTTCACGGAGGTGGTCCCGACGTCAAGGCCGGCGCGCCATTGGCTGCAGAGTACACGCAAGAAAACGTCGACTTGTTGAGAGAGGGTTGCTCCAACTTGGGCAAGCACATTGCCAACGCCAAGGCGTACGGCTTACCTGTGGTTGTGGCCATCAACAAGATGTCGTCGGACTCCGACAAGGAGCACGAGGTTATTCGCGAGGAGTCTTTGAAGTACGGTGCTGTGGATGCCATTGTGTCCAACCATTGGGAGGAAGGTGGACAAGGTGCAGTTGACCTTGCCAACGGTGTGATTGAGGCAGCCAACTCCATCGAAAAGGACTTCCGTTTCTTGTATGAGACTGCTCCAAGCGTGGAGGAGAAGATCAGCACCATTGCCAAGGAGATGTACGGTGCTGGGGAGGTTGAGTTCTTGCCCGAGGCACAGAAGAAGATTGATCTTTACACCAAGCAGGGCTTTGGCGACTTGCCCATCTGTATTGCCAAGACGCAGTACTCGTTGTCGCACGACGCCGCGTTGAAGGGCGTGCCCACTGGCTTCAAGTTCCCCATCAGAGATGTGAGAGCATCCATCGGTGCCGGCTACTTGTACGCGTTGGCCGCCGAGATCCAGACCATCCCCGGCTTGCCCACGCACTGCGGTTTCATGAACGTGGAGGTCAACGAGGACGGCGAGATCGACGGATTGTTCTAAGAACACATACAGAAGTTATGAAGTTCAACACTTTATGATGTTACGACAAAATTAGAGAAGGGAAGTCTATGACAGGATTCAGTTATTAAAGATTCACCATGAGTTAATACAGGAAGTTATCCACCTTGATGTAGTATGCCGCGAAGACATCTGCACCAGGCACGCGATCAGCAAGAACCCTGCCGCAACACGCCAGTAGCCAGGGCCAGGGGGCGCTTCGCCATGAGAGGATTTTCCACTTCAATGACTGTTGTTCGCGGCTGTTTCTTGGTTTTCTGTTTTGGAGCCTCATCGCCCCACGGAGCGGCCCGGCGCGTCGAGACAGAGATGACGAGAATGAGACTAATAAAAAACAGACGGAAATGAAAAACGAGCGGAAATGAAAACAGGCGGAAATGAAAACAGACGAACATGAAAAACAGACGAACATAAAAAACAGACCGAAATGAAAAACAAATGATAATACTAAAAACACTAACCAGCCGAAAATGGCACAACGGACCCATAACACCACGCCTCCCAGGCTCTGGCACCAGCCATTTGCATCCAACCCGCAGACTCCTATCCGGCTCGCGCCACCCCTAGGCACCCGAGCCAGAGGCCGCGTGCCTGCACACAGCGCCGCACGCGGCATCCGTCTCGCATCCAAAAACCCACGAAAAAACCCTGGCCTCACTGAGCGCCTCTTGCCCCTTATTCTCATAGCCGCCTTCTTTCGTTCCGTGTGCCCCGCCTCATTCCAGCACACCGCCGCCAAATATCGCAAATGTTCCGCTCGATCAGAACCTCGGCCCCGGCACGTGCCGCCGCGTTGCACGTGATGCGCCGAACGGCCGCCGCTGTCCCGGCCAGATGCCTCTCTTTGGCGCCGGCCAAAACCGGGTTTTCCCCCGCGGGCCGCCGTCCTGCGGCACTTTTCACCCGGCTCCGGGCGTACAGCGTGTTGACGCAAAACGCCGCCAAGGAGTACAAATACCGCGATGTCAAGGCGCTCACGGAGGCGCGTGGCGGCCAGCCCGGCGCCTTGCTTATCGACGTGCGCGAGCCTTCGGAGTTCCAGGAGGGCCACATTCCCGGCGCTCGCAATGTGCCGTTCAAGTCGTCTCCTGGCGCGTTCGACTTGTCCGAGGAGGAGTTTGAGGAGAGTTTTGGCTTCGAGAAGCCGGCCAAGGACCAGCACTTGGTCTTCTACTGCTTGGGTGGCGTGCGGCTGACGGCCGCGGAGGAGTTGGCCAACTCGTTCGGCTACACGAACCGCGGCAACTACGTCGGCTCGTGGGAGGACTGGGTGGCGCATGAAAACGCTGCCGGCAAGGCGTGATTACCGGATACATGCCTGCCACGGAACGGTCACGAGTGAACACCACGGAACTAATGCTGGGGTTTTCTCGGAAGGATTTTGGAGCGACGCGCGGGCGGCAGCGCGCCGCTCGGTGGTTGCCGTTGTGTCGCTTCTTGGGCCGTCGTGTCGCTTCTTGGGCCGTCGTGTCGCTTCTTAGGTGCCGTCATGTCGTTTCTTGGGCCGTCGTGTCTCTTCTTAGGTGCCGTCGTGTCGCCCCTAGTTGCCGTCACATCACTCCCTAGCTTCCGTCCCTCTACTGTACATACCTCGGGTTCAGCCGGACCGCCCCCAATCGCAACGATGTCGCGTGTATTCGCTACTTCCCCGCCTACTGCGCGTCGCGGAACTCGAGCTGCTTGAACTCCTTGCCCAAACGCCTCTTCCTCTTCCTCTCCATGACCTTCTCGCGCTGGCCCGCGCGCATGCTGTCGAACTTGGCCTTCTGCACCATCTTGCGCTGCTCGGACCTCTTCAAAAAGTACGGGTTGACCTGCTCGCCGGTGCGCATCTTGTGCATCTGCTCCTTCTTGTGGCCCAGCACTATGGTGGACGCCAAGTCGCGGTTCTTCAACGTGTCCAACCGGGACTTGAGCGACTGCATCTCGAACTTGAGGTTGTCCGCGTCGCGGGCCGACATGCGCAGCATGGACTTCTTGTCCTTGAGCGTCTTCTGCATGTCCTTGATCTCCTGTTCGCGGTACTCGTCGAGAAACGCGTAGTCCTTGCGGATGCGGCTCCAGTCGGCCTTGCCGTAGGCCGCGTCGAACCGGATGTCGTGGTAGAGCGTGCTTTCCTTGGCCGTCTTCAAGCCCGCGATCTCGCGGATTTTCGGCACGGGCCGCTTCAGCGACGCCTCCGCGGGCGCGTGCTTGTTGCGGCGGTGCTGCAAGCTTTTCTTGGCCTTGTGGGTTTTGGGCTGCTGCGCCTCGAGAAACGCCTCTTTGTCGTCCAGCTCCGAGTCACTGGGCCCGGCGCTCTGCAGGCGGTCCCGGGCAGTACCGGTTTTGTGGCCCCGGGATGTTTTCTGTAAAAGACCCGGTTTTGAGGGCGCCTCCCGGTCTTTTCCGGGGGCCTTTTGCGGGCCTCTGCTGGCCCTGTCCTCGGCCATTAGCTTCTTCTGCGCAGAGCTCAACGCCCCAAACGAGAGGGCTGAAAAGTCGTCGTCGCTGTCGTCCTGGAAATTGCTTTTGGCGGGCCGGAGCACCGAGCCCACGAGGTCGTTTTCGGAGTCCAGCCCCGAGCTCACGTCTGGCCTCACACGGGAATTCATCATGGGGAGAAAGAGATGGAGGAGATGGGCATCTGGCGGTTTATGCAGGCGGCCGGGGCCGGGCGGCGCGGCCTGCACATGCGGATGTATGGGGGTTTCGCTGGCCCTGGCCCCAAGGCGCCGGCGCTGTTCTGGCGATTTGTGGGGTTGGTGCCTGGCCGTTTGGGGATGTTTTGGCGGGACGGGCTGTCTTTTTTTGGTGGCACGGGCTTTGTTTTTGGCGGCATGGGCTGTTGTTTTTGGTCTGTCTGAGCGCACTATGGTGGCCTGTCGCGGCCCTCGGTAATGTTCCACCAAGGCAAAGGCCGCTGCGGTTCTTTCGCTGGCGTGGCCATTCATCTATGATACGCCCTCGAGGCCTTTGTTGGATATATTGTCAGGCTTTGGTGTGTGTGACCCACTAGACTGGACCGGGTATTAGCTGGACCGGGTATTAAAATTTAATTAGAGTGGTGTATTGCCGGAGTGGTGTAGTACCTGGAGTGGTGTATTAAGATTAGAGTGGTGTATTACCGGAGTGGTTTATTACCTGGAGTGGTGTATTACCTAAATACCTGGACTGTATTAGTATAAATCAGAGTGGTTGTTGACCGGACTGTTGTGTTAACTAATATCTGGACTGGTTTACTACACTAGTGTATTAACTGGACTGGCGCACTGATATTAATTGACTGGCATGCTGATTGGGCTATTGTATTAACTGGACAGGTGTACTAACTGGACTGGTGTATTGATATTAATTAGAGTGGTCTGTTGACTGGACTGTCATATTTACTAAACTACTATATTGAGTGGACTGGTGTATTAACTGGACTGGTGTATTACCGTATTACTTGGACTGGTGTATTAAGATTAGAGTGGTGTATTACCTGGAGTGATGTATTACCTGGACTGTTATATTTATTGAACTGCTATATTAAAGGGACTGGGTATTAGCTGGACTGGTTCATTCGCTGAGCTGGTGTAATACCTCATTACCTGGACTGTGTATTGAAATAAACTAGAGTGGTCTGTTGACTGGACTACGGTGCTAACTGATGACAAGACTGGTTTGATTGACTGGCATGCTGATTGGGCTATTGTATTAACTGGACTGATGTACTAACTGGACTGGTGTATTACCTGGACTGTTTTAAAAGCTGGACTGTTTTATTAGCTGGACTGATCAATTGTTATTAATCATAGTGGTCTGTTGACTGGACTGTCATATTTACTCAACTGCTATACTGAGTGGACTGGTGTATTACCTGGACTGGTATATTACCTGGACCGGTGTATCAACTGGACCGGTGTATCAACTGGACTAGTGTATCAACTGGACTGGTGTATTAGCTTATTACCTAATGGTTGCATTGGTTGGACTGGCGTATTAACTGAACTGGTAAATTTACTGAGCTACTATATCAAGTGGACTGGTGTATTAGGTGGACTGGTGTATTAATTGGACCGATGTATTTACTGGACTGGTATATTGACTGGACGGGTGTATTGACAGGACTGGTATCATACTATATTTCCTGGACTGGTATATTAACTGGTCTGATATATTAACTGGTCTGGTGTTGTAGCTCGACTGGTTTATTATCTATTACCTGGTTTGGTCTTTCCTGGACTGATATACTAACTGCACAATGGTGAACTTTGGAATTTCTCATACGCTATGGCAAGCTGTAGTGGCCTCTGATATATTTGGTATACTTGATGCCACTACGGGAGATATAATTTAATTATGTTAAACTCCATACTGCAGTGGTATGATAAACTGCACACGCCGATATTTTCAGTCGCATTGTGGTTGGAACTGATGGATTATAAATGATGTATCATGATACTGGTGTGTTTGATTCCACTCTGGTTAATTCTAATGTATCATATTACACCACAATGACTAGACTATACCCTTTGATCTATTTGATTGCATTCCGAGAAAACTCAAGAATTTTGGAGTAACGGTGCTTCTTCGTAAACTAATGCGGACTTAGCTAGAAGGAAGGAGCTCACCGATTTTGCCTCGAGGAAATTCTGCCATCGGAGTACATCTAGCCTGTGAGTGATAACATGTGGCTACTGATGACCCACAGTTTCTGTAATTTCAGCTTGAAAGGAGTCGTCGGGATACTGCTTTAACGGAACCAGAGAATGAGTAGCAGAGAACTATTCCTCCGGGATTTTGTGTTCCAGTCAGAGGTAACTAATTGGGAAACTGGATCTACCAAAATCGTGAGGGCATGAGAAACACGTAATTAATTGGCTACGAACAGTAGCGATGGCAGACGGCCCAGCAACTTTCGAGGCTTACTTGAAAATTATGCTACTGTGATTTATTTTATTACACTAAAATGAAATATTCTGGGTTATAACGCTTGATTTATTTGACTTCAATATAATTGATGGCTTAGGATACATTCCACTATGGTATATTTGATGTGTTATAGTACACCACAGTGGGAAATGATAGAATATAAACTTTAATCTATTAGCACGGAAAGTGCGATGCACTATAATGGGATATAAGATAACCCTTTTGTCTATTAATTGCATTGCAGAAGGGAACAATGTAATTGTCTTTGGGTGGACTTCAACACACTTTGGTGTGTTTCGCGACAATGTTGAATTGCAGTGGGTTTCGGAATTTGCTCCATCGTAGATAACAGAAGTCCTTGGTATAACATACCACCCTGGTGGACTTTGATAAGTTTAATTCCCGTTGTCATCTCCGCAATATGACCATGGTATGACCATGATGGACTATGTTGGTCTTTCAAAAATCACTACACCATATATTGCATTCAATAGCTAAACGGAAGAAGATCTTATCAAACAATCCTAGGGGGTATGGTAGAGATCATGCGTTATTGTCTATTGTGTTCTTGAGGCTTTGTTGTCATACCCCCGGATAGAGGTTATGGATCATATACTAAGGCCTTGTTGCGGCGGTACTATGTTAGAATAGTCACGCTATGATCTTGAACCTGACTGTCGAATCCTATTCTGTACTACCAATATCATGAAGCCTCTACATCCAGATGCTTGCAAACGAGCATTGAAAGTATAGCCATTTGAATCTTCGATTCTCAAGCTGACACCTGTCGGTCAATCCCACATGTTCTGTATTCATCGTGGTACATAGAGATAATGCATTTCTTGCTGGAGCAAATATTCTCAGTTCTCAATCAAAATGATACAATTGTTATCCAAAATTTTTAATCATTAATCAAGTTTTGGATGATTTCATCTATGATGATTCTGGCGTCAGCCGTAGGAGCATCCGATTTTCCAACTCAATGTATTATGTTCTATCGAGGAATAAAGAAGACTTTCGGCTGTAATTGACACGTATCTCTAATTACGGCCTTTTTCTTGAATATCTCCAGAGAGACATCACCCACGTGTTCTCGAGATGGCTCTACAATTTATAACTTGCATTTCCCCCAAAATATTCCCTCGTGATATCTAGGTATCGTATACGGGCTTTCGACGGGACTTAAGGAAGCTACATAAGTATCATACTCAAAGGCCGCTCATTCATCTTTGGGGTCTTCAGAATCTTTTCTATCATGCAGAAAGAAAATAGCGTCGTTTGCCGAAAAGACGACAATACAGTATGAGATATGTCTGGAGACGGTACTGCGAAAGCTACTCGAAACCCACGTTCATTTCAGAACGTGGATTTTGAGCGGCCGCGTATGGGTGTCTCTCCAAGAGATAAAATGAGCTGGCTTCCCAAAACTCAAACAAACCAAAACATGCAAAGGCATCTCTGCGGATGCGTGCATTTACATCCGGGACAATCACACTGATCTTGCCTAAAGAAGGTGCATCGAAGAATTAAACGCTTGTTATTTAGTCTACGCTTCGGTTCCTGTGACCAAAGCCCACAGTTGATAGCCCCTCTGTTTTTGTTCCGCAACCGTCACACAAACTTCAACTCTCGTGATGTCTTTTCCGTGGTTCTAATTCCATGCAAGTGGTCTCCCCTTTCCAGCCTATGTTGAAAGGTCTCTTTTTTGTAGTATGCTATCAACATTCCCATTTGACTTCTTGCTCATACAAATTTCGAGCCTGAGAATTTCCTTTTTCGGCGAATAGTTTGGTTCGCCGGCATCATGCTACATACTCTGCGGCCTTGATTCTCCAGTTCAAGGCCGCTTCATTTTAATAGAATCTGCTCTTCAAGACACAGCCAGGACATCTCGTCCACCTAGCTAAACACGCAAGACCCCAGCCTCGGATCGTCTGTCTTTTCTATTCAAACCCTGTGGTGCCGTGTCTAACTATGTATCACTTTACATATCTGCGACCCCGCATCTGCCACTATATATGGAGACATATAGCCGTTCCACCCCATTAGCATTCATGGCGCCACGCCATCAAATTCTGCTCCCATCGTCACGCCCAATTTCCATAATCAGGCACTGTCTGAACCTCGCCGTGTGTCGCCTCTAAGACTAAGTCTGAAACGCTCTGTGCGAATATTAAAAAATAAAGGCCACTAAGCACCCAAGGCTGACAACACCCAAAAACAAAGAAATAAAATAAAAAAAGACAGGGAAGAATGACAAGATGACACCGAGCGTCGCCAAGCCTCAGATTCCTCACATTAGTCCCCACTCTGAACGGGCGGCAACAGCCCTCCGAAATCGGAGACCCATGATCGCCAATATCCGATCGCCAATATCCGAATCTCGCCTCGCGCCTCTGACGTAATTAGCAGGCTGGCCCTAAGTGCGGCATAGTGGCTAGCGTATGCCATACCCCGGGTGCCTCTATTCCGTCTACCAGCCCCACAGCCACCAAGCAGGTCTTTTTATACCTGAGTTTCAGGCCGGTTTCACCAGGAGCTTATTTGTAGTCTCGATTTACAAGTCCTCCAGCCCGAACTCGGGACGATATTGCCCCAATACACCATGTCACGTGCACACCACGTCACGTGCAAACGGCGTTCAGCTGTGGCACTGCATAGACGGCAGTGTGGGCGCAATTTCTAACAGTGCCCCAGGCCAAAAACCACCAAACATCAGCATCCTTTTTAGGCAATGCACGCGTACTTGGTGCCCGGCTCCCCGAAATCCAGAAATGAACATCTTCTTTTTTTTCTCTTCTTTTTTTTCTGAACGCCCGCTAATCCACACGGCTCTCCCGCATGGCTGTCTTCCGCCACGCCCCGGGCTAATAGACACAAGCCCGCGCATCGGCGCTGTCCCTAGAAACGCCGGGGCATATGCGGCACCGGCATCTCTGTGCAGGCAAGGACCAGACGTGTCCGAGCCACCTCGGTACATCGTTGCGGCATAGAAGCCGCATGCCATCAGCGCGAGAAAACCGGGGCCTTATTCCTGTGTTCCTGCTTTCTACTACTATACTGTTCTTCCAGTTAAAACCGCAAATCACACCAACCATGTTGTCCAGAGTTGCCCGTGCCACAAGAGTATGTTAGCTTGTCGTTTGTTATTTTATTTGCTGCCGTTCTGGCCGCCCAGCCTTGGGGCCGCAATCTATTGATTTGCGGCCGGTCTTCTCTGGCCCGGCGTCTGGTGCTCCGGGTTTGTGAAGAGCCTGCCGAAATTGGTGAAAGCCCCTGAATCGGCGCCATCCCCGATTTTGTGTCATGGGCGGGTACTGCGCTAAATTGCTGGGCATAGTAAATCGATCTCTGGGTGTTGTCTCGTCGTGGCGACACTCCTAGTTGCTTCTCGTCGGCGGTCCCGGGCGCTGCAGGCGGCGGCCTCTGGGCCGAGAAATGTCACATGATCAAACAGGACATTCCGGGATGGCCCAGTGGGCTCTCATTGTAGCCATGATGCGCCATTTGAGCAAAGACTCGATCCAGTTGATGCTGGGCTGGGTGGAATCGGGTCTTTCCCGATTCTTTGCCCCGGGCTTGGCTCTCGTTTTCTGGGTCGGACTCCGATCCGGACTTCGGCATGATTGCTTGTGGGCCCTTCCTTTTTGGGCTTTTCCTCGTTGGGACATCCCTAGTTGCTTATGGCATGTATCATTCTGGGGGCCGTCTGTTTGCTCTTGTGGCTTTCTGTTCACTCGTTCACTCTTGTGGCTTTCTGTTCATTCTTGTGTTTACAGGACTCCTTTCAGAACGCCGTCCGGCGTCTGTTCTGTCTTTCGCGCCCTGCACCACGCTCACCCATGCCTCCCGTTCCTCTCCCTGCCCTGCCTCCTCTCATCTACTAACATTCCCAGGTTGTGCAAAAAAGATGTTTGTCGTTGCACGAATATCGCTCCGCTGCTCTTTTGGAGTCGTTCGGCGTGGGTGTGCCTAAAGGCTACGCCGCCACCACCCCTGAAGGAGCTTTCGACGCCGCCAAGAAATTGGGCACCAGCGAATTGGTGATCAAGGCCCAGGCTTTGACCGGAGGCAGAGGTAAGGGCCACTTTGACAACGGCTTCCAGGGCGGAGTCAAGTTGATCTCCTCCCCAGAAGAGGCCAAGGACTTGGCTTCCAAGATGTTGAACCGCAAGTTGATCACAAAGCAGACTGGTGCTGCCGGTAAGGAGGTCACCGCCGTCTACGTGGTGGAGAGAAGAGACGCCAGAACCGAGGCTTACTTGGCCATCTTGATGGACAGAGCCACGCAAAAGCCCATGATCGTGGCCTCCTCCCAGGGAGGTATGGACATCGAGGGTGTGGCTGCGGAGACCCCCGACGCCATCAAGACCTTCTCGGTCGACTTGGACGCCGGTGTCACCGACAAGTTGGCCACGGAAATCGCCTCTGTCTTGGGCTACACCCAGGAGGCTGTCCCCGAGGCTGCCAAGGCCGTGCAGAACTTGTACAAGGTCTTCATCGAGAAGGACTGCACCCAGGTGGAGATCAACCCCTTGTCCGAGACCCCAGACCACAAGGTGTTGGCCATGGACGCCAAGTTGGGCTTTGACGACAACGCTGAGTTCAGACAGAAGGACGTGTTCTCCATGAGAGACACCACGCAGGAGGACCCCGAGGAGGTTGAGGCCAGCAAGTACGGCTTGAACTTCATCAAGTTGGACGGCAACATCGCCAACATCGTCAACGGTGCCGGCTTGGCCATGGCCACCATGGACATCATCAAGTTGTACGGCGGTGAGCCTGCCAACTTCTTGGACTGCGGTGGTACTGCCACGCCTCAGACCATCGAGAAGGCCTTCCAGTTGATCTTGTCCGACAAGAAAGTCAACGGTATCTTCGTCAACATCTTCGGTGGTATCGTCAGATGCGACTACGTTGCTGAGGGTTTGATTGCTGCCACCAAGAACTTCAACTTGGACATCCCAGTCGTAGTCAGATTGCAAGGTACCAACATGAAGCAAGCCAAGGACTTGATCGACAACTCCGGCTTGAAGTTGTACGCCTTCGAGGACTTGGACCCTGCTGCCGAGAAGATCGTCTCATTGGCCCCAAAGGCTTAAATTAGCTACGCCCCTATATTCAAATAACAAATGAAAACGTAACTCTAGATTGATAATGTGAATGCAAAGTACCCGGTTGGATATTTAGGAGAAAATTCCGGGTTTGGCTATGAATACGATGGACATGACCTGGTAAATAATCCGTTCGATGATAATGGGTCGATCAGCTGAATGCACTGTCTGAGGAATCTGGCTTCCTTGAATTTGATGATTTCAACGTCTCGTGAACCTTTTCAGAATACCATGAAAAATGTCTGAATGTCTTTTAGAAACCTGAATCCTTCACGCAAAACATCTCCATAAGACACGCTATTTACACCTTATAAACAATCTTCCATATTGTTGTCTATAAATAACCTGAATATACGTGATTGAGAACTTGAACCCAGTTGATTGTTTAATCTCTGTAAAATACAATCAAATATTATCGATTTACAAGGGCTATGAGTGAGTCATTTGTAGCGGTAAAGCTGCAAAGCCCGCTGCTTTTGCTAAACCCAAATTTCACTGCTTCAGTCTTAATAAAAAATATGAGTTATTTATTTATGCAATCTGAAGAATTGAAAAGCGTATAGGGTATTTAATCTCTTTTCTGCAAATCTGCAAATAATTGACGTTCAAGGCTTCTTGTTTCTTCCATGCATAGTTAAGTGATGTCTTTCTGTATCTCGAATTCTTAGATTTTACTGATACATATCTCTCTTTTGATTAAAAGGTTAAGCATTCATAAGTATTAGACACTATGATAGTGGAAGAAGCTGTGTTACCTTTTCTTTTGCCTATAAAGTATTGGTCATTATGACTGTATTTAGGGATACCTTCTTGTCTTGTGGTCTATATTTAGGAAGATGATGAATAACTGTATAGTTTAAAATGATTAAGTCTGTTTCATTCTGATTAAATATTGTTTGGCCCACGAGCTGTCTCATCAAATATTACATTTCTTCACAGGTGGCAAATAATCTGGTTGTGCTTTGCGTGCGTTGCTTTAGTTCATACTAATTATATCAGGTGAATGGCTTCAAATGCTACATCTTTAAAAGCCGCTTCCGCTTTTCCTGAATTGATCAGCTTGTTGAAATTCAATTCAAGCCGAACAAGATCACAAGAACATGGGTATGATGATATTCAGGAATACTCATTATGGTGGAGAAGTCACCGTGAAAACCTTGCCAAATTATACAAGCTTACCGTTTTATTGAGTTCTATCGCACTAGCTGGGGAAGATCTATATTCACCGTTTTTAGTCGTCAAACAATCCGATAACTTCGAGAACTTCTTCAACTCGGCAATGATTCTTATGCTTCTTAGTAATTTAATCTCTCGCACAGATCAACGAATTTATACAGAGTGAGTCTCGTAGGCTGATGCGAAATATCAATTGGTTTGATCAAGATTTTACCTGTTAATTCGAGAAATATGGCCCCTTCAAGCAGCGACATCGAGTGAATGCAGAGGTCTTGAAAGCTAGATCAAATGATTCAACTGACAAAAAGACTGGATTTTGTGCCCCGAAATATCACATTTAACTTGTAATTTGAAATGGCTCATCCACTTTAAGATAAGACTTCAATAAATAATTTACAACCTCCATGATTGATCGCGTACGCACAATATCACGAAATTTATTTAAATGCCTCCAAAACGATTTGCAATGTAAATTTGAGATCTAACATGTGTAATTTTTTGGGTACATCTCTATTTTAAACACGAGAAGTTTAGGATATGTCGTGCATTTCCAATCCACTAACTTCAACTGATATAAACACATACCTCGTCATAAAGAAACTCTATTTTCCTCTTGATCTATTGGTAAATTTTACTCCAATAAATCTCTTTTTTGAATCATCAAGGTGTCCAGGCGCTTTTTATTGGCAAATAATTCTGTCCAAACTACTCAAACTGTTCATATTGATTGTAAATTAATTTATTTTTCCGCAATGCTATTTATGAGGCCAATTCAACAGCTTCATGATGCCCCCTCAAATATTTGAATGATCGGGCGGGAACTATTTGACTTCGCCTTTTCATCTTTCAACTGGAGCACGGGTGAGCTGACCCAACTAAAAGAGCCTTCTTCAAAACTGAGCCCCATAGATACAAGCCCCATTGAAGCCAAGGTAGCAGAATCGGCAAATTCATATTGATCCAGGTGACGGGCAATAAGCAGTGACATAATGCTGCTCAGATCATCCATATTAGAATTGCTAGTATCCAACACTTTGGTGTCCTGGGTGCGTGGAAAGTTTTCTGGGTGTGTTAAAAACAAATTTTCATGCTCGATTGTTGGTTTTGCTGTTGATTGCTGTAGGTCAGTATCACCAAGCTGTAGACCTGCGAGCACCATTTCTTCATCCTCCCAATTTCCAAGGCTAGAAAGGTCCAGAACAGAGCATATTTTTGACCGCCTTCCTATTTCCGAGGTGGCACTTTGTGTAGTAGTTTTCTCTTCATTCTTTAGGACATGTGAGTGTTGATTCTGAGAGTCTTTTCTTTGATGATCAAGTCCCAAGTATTTAGATCGAGGTACAACTGCTTCTAGGGTAGCTTCTTTAGAAGACAGAAAAGTAATGGGTAGAATGCCTAGGAAATATGTCAGACGTGTTTGCAGTGGGCCAGGGTTTGTAGACGTCAGGCATCCATTCTCAGTAGCCAAAGTGCACTTTTCTTTGCAGCCGTTTCCCATAAAGTCGTTGAAAAGTTCATTGACAAGACTCTTAATACTTGGATCGTATGCAGAGGGACATTCTGGATCCCTGGGTAAAGGGTTTTTCCCGGTATCACACACAATATTGTTTGAATTACTGATATCCTCAATAGCGGGACAGTCTCTGGAATACAAGGAAAAGCTTGTAATATCGCCATTATGTCTGCCGTTCGCAGAAGTCATACTTGCACTATGCTGGCCATAGCCCCACGGAATAAAGATGCTACTAAGGCGATATGGCAATCGCTCCTTTGCAAGATGGTTAGATTGCATATGCTCGCTGGTGCTTCCATTCAGCTTTTGAGAAAGTACTGCAGTGAATTCCCTAGCTTTTTGAGCCATTAACTTCAAAAAGGGGGATTCATGAGTGCTTCTGCAGTTGATGGAAGCTGGGGAAGCAGCACCATTTTCTTTGAGCATGGATGCCTTGGACTCACATCCCGCAAAATTGTTGCTGAACATTCCGATGGAATACAACAAATCCAAATTGCAGGGGTACAGAATGTCTCTTGTGCTTATGTCACTGTGTGGGCAGGAGCTGGAGAAGTACGACATGAGACGGGCCAGCCAATCAGAAAAGGCAGTCAGTTGAGATTTAGCAGATTTTTTGAGACCTGCTTTGGTTTGTGGCTCTCTAGTTTTATTTGGCATGAATTGCCATTTGTTCTTGTCTCTTTCGACGCCACCAAAAGCACTTGCCCGACGAGCACCTATATTTCTGATGCCGTGATGGAGGGAGCTTCCGAAAGAGAACCTGGCACTCTGCGGCCTCGGTTTCTTGGAAGCCCAAAAAGACATCTTGGAAAGATTTCCGGTGAGTTTTTTGTTGCTGAGTCTGAGGTAAGATAATTAGTAGTCGGTGGAGCTTCTGGTGATAGCTGCGAAAGATAAGCGCTGTTGATGAGGTCCGGTGGCAGAAGAGCGATGGAAGGCCAGCAGGATTGGAATTTCTTGATTATTGATAAGGCAAACCAAAGGCCAAAACTAGTGTGACCAGTAAGTAGTATGAAAAGCTCCTAGGTCAAATGAGCCGACTCTTTAATGCCTACTTTTTTCCTCTGCCATGGAGCGGCTGCAAAGTGCGGCTAGCACATAACAAAAGACGGCGCCACTTCCTCTCTTTTCATGCATGATGGCGAGAAGTAGAATACGAAAATTAAGATCAATATTCGGAAAAGAAATGTGAACCTCATGGGAATAAAAAAAGCCAGGATCACAAATCCCGGCGGTGTTCTTCATGTAGGTGCGCATGTATCATTCTGATCAAGTGGACCACCAGCGTGCATTTCAACGGGCCCAGGGACAAGCACTGCCTAATTCCAAAAAAAAAAAGCAGAAAACACATTGCAGTTGATTTTCAATTGTATCTATTTTCTAATTTCGACTGGTTTTTCCTGCAGGCCTATATCTCCGAAGCCGGCGTCATGGACATTCGGCTCATACAGCACTATCTCTGGTAAAAATAAAAGGCCAAGATGGGTCCAGACTTCCCTAATTTTTGTTTTTACTTTTCTAGTCTTATTTTCTTTTTGTTTTTTATTCTGCATCAAGTCAGGCTATACTTCTTGTACAACGACTCTTCGTACCCGTGATCAGATCAGAGAGCATCTAATGTATCCGGACACACCCTTTGAAATTCTGTTTGGAAATCAGTATAAAGCTTATTTCATCTTTTACCTTACTGTGTGTAGCTCCTTTTTTGTGGCCGCCTTCAGGGTGTATGATTCACATGGTGTCTGAAGAGATATTGCCCTCTCCGAAGACTCTCAAGAGCTTTTGAAAGGCAATTTCATCTGAACATGGTGATCTGGTAGCATTTCTGCAAGTACATAACCTCACCTGAAAAAATTCTCAAAACTCTCAAACCCTCAAGGCCGGCTGCAAGAGAACCGCCATCTTGACGCTTGAAGTCAACAACAAGGCGTCCCAGTTTATAGACACTTTTGTTTTTGAATGGCTCGAGGCTCTTAATGGGTCATAGCCGTGCAATTTCTCCTGTCTCGTTTAGAGAAGCATGAGCTGATTCTCATTCAATCACTTATACTAGGATAAGGGTGCAGCCCTGAATTCCCAGTAAGCAACCCGTCCGCAGAACTGATTTTGCTTGACTTTCAAGGTCTCCTATGGAATACCAATGCCTTACGCAAAACTTTCAGTGCCGAGATCAGAAAATTAGATGTCTCTTGTGAATGTGGTTTCGTCATTTCGTATATAGGATTGTGATATTGCTGGCGCAGTGTATACATCCACGAATCAATACTACGACAATGAGTGCACAGCGCAAGCAAATGGGATAATTTCAAAACACCATCGATACCTGAGCACTAGCTTCAAGCGCTCTGGCTCCTTCTTCCTTTTTTGCGGTGATGTATCCCGATTCACTATTGTACATCAGAGCCCAATCCCAGCTCCCAGGCCCCGGTGTTTCGCAACCTAAATGTCGCAATGTCGTGCGGAGTTGGGCCACTAAAAACCAGTGTATGCCAAAAACCACTGAAGAGTTTTCAGTCCCCAAGCTGAACAGATACACATGTTTTCGAATACGGGGCTCCCCTCTCATTTAAAGCCAGACTTCGTTGCGCTCGGGGCTGCAATCGAATAAGCCTGGTCACGTGATGCCAGCGTCGCCACTGGGGCCACAACACCATGTGAGAACTAGACGCTTAGCCCTAATTAATCATGTGACAAATGAGACATTAAAGTTCGCACCACTTACCCGGAACCAAATAGCACGACGAGTATATGAAGGGAAGAGAATTCCCT